AAAATTTGGTAGACATCTTTAATACTAAAAAATCTAGTGCCCGATCGTGGCTTTTGTTTTTTCGTTGCGTATTTTTTTTTAATAATAAAAAAACGAGCGAATTTTTGGTAGCAAAATCATACCTTCAAATTTGAACAGCCGCCATTTTGTCGCAAATTAATTTTTCAAAAAAATGAACGATCGGGCACTAGATAATCTTATATATTAACTAAATTTCTCGGGTTTTTTGATTTCTGGTAAACCAGTTCAAAGTTAGAGTGGTCACCGCAAAACGCTTTTCAAAAAACTGCTTCTGGAAGATTAAGCATATCTTTTTTATTTATCAACATTTTGCAATAAAAAAATACTAAATAATCTTTGAAATATATATATTTGAAAACATAAATGTTCCTTTCCAAAGCACTTCAAATATTTAAAAAAAAAATTCCCAAAAATACGTGTTTTTCAGACCTTGCAGGTAGGTATAACCCCTTAAAGAATTTAAACTTATATTTTATATAATAATAATAAAACATTTTATTACGTCAAACCGTCGTGAAATAATTAAATAAAATTTGCTAGTTACGTCAAAGTCAAGTTTTCTAAGCTTATAAAACATTTTATTAAAAAACAGATTCAATAAATATAAGTACATGTTATATATATACTTATATTTATTGAATCTGTTTTTTTTATAAAATGTTTTATTATTATCATATATAATATAAATTATTTAATTATTTTTTAATTTTTTATGAGTAATTTAATTTGTTCTAATTATTTTTGTACGAGAAAAATACTATCACGGGTATACGTTTTATAACGAATTAAATATATTTATGTTCAAAAATTATATTTGACCTTTAATTTTAATTTTGTATTTTATTAAAATTAATAATTAACATATATACTTAATTGCGAATTATATGGATGAACAAAATCCCTATTATGTGTGTAAGAGATTTCGGAACTCTTTGCTAAAATAATTAAAATTAAAAGTCAAATATAATTTTTGAACACTTTTATATTATTAAAAATATATAATTCGACTCTCGAAATATATTAATTCATTATAAAACGTATACGTATTAGTATTTTTCACATATTAAAATGATTAGAATAAATTAAATTAATTATTAAAAAACTAAAAATTAATTAAACGACTTAGACTTAGATGATAATAATAATGAAACATTTATTAAAAATAATTATAATAGGTCAGGTTAATATTTTATTTATTTATTTATTTATAACATCATAAAATTCTGTCCTTTCCGAAATACGCGAACGCTACGAAAAGATAAATCTCGTACATGCCGCCGGACGAGTTCATGAGCATGAGACGCTCATCTTAGGAACGTATTAATAGTTACTGCATTGACCACTACCACGATATGGCGCTGAAATCAGTGAGAAATGCTGGTCTCTCCTTCATCCAGACCTTTGGCGATCTGTCTATTAATCTGTGACGATGACAACATACAGCTGTCAACTGTGTGAACGACTAACGTTTCAAAGAGACTGGAGGGAAAATGTCTCACATACAGTATGTAGACGAGTTGGTCAAGGAGTACTTGCTCTTCAGAGGCTTTAGTCAGACTTTGAAAGCCTTTGATAATGATTTGAAGACGGAAAAAGAAAAGGGCTTTAGGGTAAGAATTTTAGCAAAATAAGGAAATATTGAACAAAATAAGAATCATTTGTTAAACGAATCAAAATAATTACACAATACGTTTCTTCTTGCTCTTACTATTTCTGTTAATATTGCTTTCCTGTACTTATCAATATGCTGCCTTATGTTTATGTTTTTATGCACAAGATATAAACAGAAATATTCTAAATTGTAATATATGAAAGTTGTCAATACTGAAAAGATGTTTTAAAATATTCTCTGTTTGATTGAACAGGTAGATAAAATAGTTGATCAATTAATGCAATATGTATACAATTATGATCTGACATCGTTGAGAGAACTATGGGGACACTTGGATACTAGAATGTTTTGCCGACTAGAAAGTCATTTTACACCCGCAATCAGAAAATTGGAGAATGCTGTATTAAAAATGTACTTGGTGAATGCGGCTCTGAATGGCAAGCAAGATAGGATACAGGAATTTTTATCAAAATGGCACCAGAGCTACAGGGTCACTCAGAATGGAAGGAGTGGTTTGGTATATCTCTTATTCATTTGATGAATTTATAACATTGCAAGTTTTTGAAAATTATAATTTGTACGCTTTGTAATATTACAGCACTCTCTTTTATCAAAAATCCTGAAGACAATCCAACTTACTCCGTTCATTTTAGTAAGCAATGGCACGATACTATGTTGGTATCCTTACATAATTTCCTAGCAACAATTTTTCAAGTAGGTAGAAAGATATTTTATTGCACTTTTTACTGTACACACATTTTTGAAGTTAAATTTAATTATCTAATTAAATAATAGATCAAATAGTAGAGTAAATATTAAATTAATTAATAGATTATTATTTATACATAATATAATATTATAGATCATTTCAATTGATCATATTAAATCACATAAATATTTGATTATAATTTATCATTTTTCTGTTATAAAACAAAATAGATAAAACATATTTTAATCATATAGTAATACAATGATATTAAGAAATTTAATATTTATTGTTATCTTAGTGTATGCCACAGCCGACATTACTCACGATAGATGAGGATACAAATAAATTAAAACGATTGCAAGAGGAGAATGAAATATTGAGGCAACGATTGAGCGAATCTGTTAAGATAGAAAACATATCTGATGTGAATCCAGGCTTGGCACCCCAACATCTTCCTATTATGGATGATTTTTACATCATTGCTCAGTATGTTCACATTTGTTGTAAAAATTGTTTCGTAAGAAATTTCCATAATTTAATGATAATTGATATTTAATAGAGAATCGCCGTTACTGGAAAATCCTAAGACTCTAAGGAATCTCATAAGAAATATAGGTGGTGGATCTAGTCCAATTATGAGTAGAAAGCTTGCGATAAATGTAAAAAAGATTGCGGAACCTGAAATGTGCTCGACGAAACGAACAAACACGAAAGGGCGGATAAATTCGATCAGCAAATCCGAGGCAGTCGCCAAGAGGAGCATCAGCTGTGATTCAAGATTAAGTAGTTCTAGAAAAAGAGACTCTTCTATGGATACTGCTATCGAGAGGAAAACTAAGGAAAAGATCGAGTCCAGTTATATTCTTTTAAGTCAGGTAAAGAAGAAGAATCATTTTAATCTCAAGAAATTTTTGCTGCTTCACAATTGTATTTGTATATATAATTTATGTAATGTTTACACAGGAGGAATATACAGAGCACAAAACCTCCATAATCCAATGCAAAAGTAATGCCAGTGGATCATACGTCGCGACGGGCGATGCTGATGGTATCATCAAAGTATGGACACCGATTCCCTCGCCAAAGTAATAACACGTTTATATAATTTTCCTGTTCGATGCAACGTCAATGCGCGATTTTTACTATCAATGTTTTTACTAGGACTGTCACTACATTCACTTCTGCTACGGTGAATTCCAATAAGGCTATTACTTCGTTAGACTGGATATCTAAGAATGAACGTTACTTTTTGCACGGCGACAATAACGGCTTGATCCAACTGCACGATACTCGAGATTGCAAAACGCTATGGGATATTCAGCATGAGAATTCGCGAATAGTCACCTTAATCTGTAATCCGACTGAATCGACGTTCGTCTGCTCCGTCTCGGACGGCAGCGAGGGCAAATTACTGCTGTACGACATAAAAACGAGGAAGCTCGAGAGAACGTTGCCGCTGGAGCAGAACGTCACCGCTTTATGTTCCACGTTCAATCATAACGGCCAATTACTTATCACGGGATTGTCCAATGGCAATATATTGATACACGATTTGAGGCGAAACGAGATAATAGACAATCTCAACTGCCACTCTAGCCCGATAATCGATATAGAGTTAATTAACGACTTTACGAATATATGCGCGCAAAGTGAGGACGGTAAACTATGCCAAAGAAGCTTGAATCACTCGGGAAAAATCTTGTGGGAGACCAAAATAAAGATCGACAAGAATCCTGTTCATGGAAAGCTATTTACCTTCGATCAAAGTGGTAGTTATATGTTACTCTGCACGCAGACTGGAGGAAATATATACAAGGCATGTGTTATTCTATATAAGAATAATGCTTAATTACATATGAATATGCTTAATCACAGATGTGTAATAAAAAATTGATTCTGACATTTTTATCTCTATAAACAGATGCCACCAGGTGCACAAGGAAAGATTTTAGAGTTAGGCGGACATAAGGGTACCCTATGTTGCGACTGGTCGACTGCCAATCAATCTGGAACTTGCATAACTGGAGGCGCGGAGGGAAAAGCGCGAGTATCGACGCTACTCTCACCATGATATAGGAATAAAATTAGCATCTGTATAAATTCGTAAGACGAATAGTTATTAATGATATTAATGAGAGATCTTGTAGATATATTATTTTACTCATATTAAACTCACAAATGGCTGCAAAACATTATATTAGAATTTAGATTTTAAAACATTATATTAAGTATAAATCGCCAAAATATTGGTAATATGTGTAAAAAGAAATCCTGATATTTTATGGAAAGTACAATGTATCCCGTCTTAAAATAGTTACTAGTAGTGTGTACTATATAATATAATAATCATATTCTTTGACAAAAGCAATCAGGGATTATTAAAATGTGTAAACTGTACAGAAATTATTATAGGAAAGATCTCATAAGTAATCTCCGAAATTATATCAACTGTACCACACAATTTTACTCGGTTTTATAAAAAAAAAAGAAAGAAAAATTAAAAGAATCTCATAAAATTATGATTAGAAAAATAAAACACATGTACAAAAAATTAAGGAAATGTCAATAAATACAAGTCAATTTTAGAATAGAGTATTGTATATTTTCCTGAATTCTTAGTAATTAAACTTTTATAAGATTAATGAATTATAATATAAATTATTTTATTATATGATATTTTTTTTATTATTTTAAAGTAGTTAGTTGTGAACTGTAATTTTCCTCACGTTTATATTTAGCATGAGAGGAGTTTTAAATTGGATCTTCTCATGGACCATCTATTAAAGGGGCCTGTCATATCTAGTTGCGGAGACCAATACCTCCTAAGAGCTTCATTTATTTCTGAAGGAGTAAATGGTTTTGTTACGACAGTAAACTCCTTCTGTAAAAAAAAAGGAACAAATAATATAATAATTAAATTTCTTTCAACAAATACAATATTTACCTTGTCATGATAAAAATACGGCTTATATGTAAATGGATTAACATAATTGAGTCGCTGTCGATCTATAGCATCGCCTTGCATTTTATTTTGATCCTGCCGAACTAGGAAAGTGAGATCAATAATTTGAGCAACCGTTTCATATGCGAGATAACTTAAGATTGTATATGCCTGTTTCGACACAGTAATATCACCTAAAAATTACCAAATATAAAAATTTAAATATAATAAAAAATTGTATAACAGTTTTAATACTAATCCAGATAATACCATCCAAGCCAATCCAGTCACTAAATTTATAGCGATTCTTGTTCACAAAGGACACACGACGAGCCTTGCTATATTTCATATAATTCATTTCATCCATGGATCTTGTTGCGATATCCGCACGAATGCATCTACGTCGTTTGATGTAATCCATAGTGGATGAATTTTCTAGAAGTTCGCCTGTGTTGTCAATCTGTTCTAGAAAAGTCTTAAATGGGACTTTTTTCTTGGCACTGTCGATTTGTTCATGGTCTATGATACCTTGTGGTGTATCGTTTATTAACATTTTTTGAGCCGAGCCTCCGAATTCTTTGATTTCTAAACAAAAAAATATTCTGTAAATGCACTGAACAATGCACTAAATATAATGTGTGTGCATTAGTTAGAAAATTCCATTACATATCTAAACCCACCAAGATATTTTAGAAGACGCTGAAGCTTGACCTTGTCTTTGCGCAATAAAAAAATTAAGTCCTCTCCATTAATTATGTTACTCTTCTTCGAAAGATGACCGGCTCGCCTGTCAGCAATTTCGCACGCTCTTTTGAGAATTGCTTTCATTTGCTGCAGCACAATATCCTCTATGATTTTTGCAGATTCAAATAACGGTTCACTACTATCACCGAATCCATGCATCATTAGTCGAATATCTAAAAACAATTGAATTTATAGTAATAATACTTATATTTAATTTATCCTAAATAGAATATCTAAAAATAATTAAATTTATAGTAATAATACTTATATTTGATGTAGTATACTTAACCTTACAAATTTCTAAAAACGCTCACCCTGAATGTAATCTTCAGTGTCTGGCGGCTTTGAAAATGACGTTTCTGCCATTTTCGCTTATTTATGTTATTTTTCGATCAAATGACAACGAATAATGTAAGATCTTTTTAAAAAATAAATAAACAGCATGCATTCACGTGTATATATATATATCCTAAAGCTTGTAGACTACTAGTGCTGCCATACACTATAAGTCATAAATGAATTAATAAGAAAAAAATAATATAAGTGTAAAAGGATGGAAAAAAGGATATATATGACTTATATAAATAAAAAGATATATATATATATATATATATATATAATAACTTATATAAATAAAAAGAATTGAGATTCAATAGAAATTGAGAACTTTTGTTATTTACTGCTGTAAATTATTGATCTATTATTTTCTCACATATACAGTAGCATTATGAAAGAAGTTTTATAATAATGTTTATTGGTATAAATTTCCTACATATAAATTGTTTGGTCAAAAACTTTGTAATAAGAAGAATAATGCATTACTTGTAAGTCTCTTTATTGCTCAATATGTTCTGCTGCAACATGTTCTGGCACAACTTTAGCAACTTTCCGAAATTCTTTGCATAAAGACTTTGGACATTGCATTTGTGTCCAGCTGATTGGTACCATAGCTACACCTGTGGAAAATAAATTATAAATAAATTAGTTAAAATAAGTTATTTAAAAAAAACAAAAAAAATATATATCAAATATCTTTACCTTCTTCACTATGTGCTATTACTACTCCTAATTCATTTTCCGCAGTATTTAATTGATAAGTATGTGCTTCTGTCATTGGCATCTGTCAAGAAGTATAGGAAAAAAGCAATAATTGTAATGATGTGTAATTTATTTTCTAAAATAATTTTAAAGGATACAACTCTTGCGAGAATAATATCTCCAGGTCGAAAGCATTTATACATTTCTAGTTTATCTTTGTCAATTGCTCGAACATCTTCTTTTCTTAATATCCCTCTATAAGGTCTCGTCAGTACTATGTCACCTATACACTTGATGCTACATTTACAAAATCTCTGATTAACTATAGTGACCATAGCTGTAACAATATCACCTGGAGCAGGAACAATACTCTGCTCCGTTATACCCTGTACTTCAATTGTACGAGTCTGTAACAACATACATTAAAAAATTTATTTACAATATAAATAAATATATATATTTAATGTAAATCAATATATTAAAATAGAAAATATAAATAAATATAAATAAATATAAATAAATATATTTAAATATATTTCTGTTATTTCAAATATAAAGACATCTTTACTTTTTTCAATATAAAAACTAACTTTTCCATCTGTTATTAATTTTACTATGCCAGCAAGCTTGGAATAAATATAACCCTGCTGCTCATATGTTCCAGGTCCAGCTATATTAATTTTATCAGATACACATAATCTTTGTCCTGTAAGAAATTAATTGAAAAATTAGCTTAACATGTTCGCAAAATTCAAATTATTAAAAATTGACGAAAATAATTACCTGGCACACAAACGATAAGTTCCTCTTGCTTGTTCATTATTTTATTTTGTTTACACACAATTTACACCGATAATTAAATATTTATTTACAGAAAATATTAATCTGCTGATAGATAATTATATAAATAATCTATGTAAAAGAGAGTAGAATGTATGTAAATAGATTTAGCGTATCAAAAAAATTAAATTTAAATTGATAAAAATAATTTTTTCCAAATAACACTTAAAAGGTATATCAATACAAAGTGGTTATGTTTCTTCGCAAATGTTGCTGCTACGTTGTGTTCCAAAATTTACTTCTCACGAATGGAGTAAATTCGATTGACCAATCAGGGCAATGGAAACGCATATTTCTTTATCCTGATTGGTCGAATTATAGCAACTATGAGAGCGAATTTTAGAACATATCTTTAAAGCGAAGCTGGCGTAAAGTAGGTCACGTGACGACGACGTCAGCGGCCCTCGCAAATTAGTCACGTGACATACTTCGAGACAGTTCGAGAATCGCAAGCGCGACTTCGATAGAAGAGTTCCGCGTCTCGTCTCGCTCTGCATTTTTCGCGATCATTATCGTCTCAAAAGTGAATTTCGCGCGCGAAGAATTATGTTATCGGGAGTGTTTCGTGAAAAGTGTTCGTCTGTAAGTGTCATCGTAACGTAAACATCGTGCGTACGATATGTCGTGTCGGCAAGCGAAGTTTTTGTCAAAGTTGTCTCGTCGTCGACATTTTGGCGCTAAAGTGCATCATCAGAAGTATCATTAAATATATATCATTACCAAGTATGTATATCTTATCCTAATTAATTGTATTAATTGTATTATTCCAGTTCATTTGAAATAGCTACAGATAATAGATATAATAGGTAGAAATCGGTATTTTATTATTCTCGCAGCATTTTATGATATTGGACAGAATACAGAAATATTTAGTATACGCAGAATATTAATTAAATCATAATAAATATATTGAGATATTGGTTTAACAATAAATTAACGTTATTAATTATTATGTATCTCATGAGATTATATTCAAGGTTGCTAATTTTTTATAGAAATTACGTGGTTCGAAGAAACTAAGGTTATATATATATATATATATATCTTAGAAGAAACATTCTCCGTGCACTAACGTCATCTCGGCAAATCTCATGGAAATTATTGACCGAACAGGGATAGGTGATAAGTTACCTGTTTATAGAATGGTAAGTTATCTACTTTTTGGAATATCAAGCGACATATAAATTATAAAATTTTTAGTAATTCATATATATTATAATTATTTTTTGAGTATTATATTGCGTATTTTACGTTTGTACAATTTTGTTTTATATTTGCAAATTAAATTTCTAAAATAATAAAGAATATCGCAAAAAATTGGATTCAAAATCGATAATTATAAAATATTTGCACTTTGCAATCAATTAAATAGTAAATTTTTAATATAGTACAGTAAAATATAATTATTTATCGTACTTTAATTAGTGAAAATATTTAAAAATATGCACACGCATAAAATATAAGTTCCTATAATTTAAATATATATATATATATATATATATATATATATATATATATATATATGAATTATTATAAAATTATTATTAATTAAAGAATTTATATAATAAATATTATATTTCTAAATATATTTTTGCATGTATTTTTGAAACTAAACGCAATTTCGAAAACTAAACAATATTATCAAGCGACATGATTATGATATAAAAATACGATAGCGTAAACGACTAGTGATATAAACAATGTTTTCAATTCTCGTAACGACAAATATTTAAAAAGTTTCAAATCGGCTCACGCTGATTGTTGTACACAATATCGAGAACCGTTCTCAGTTTTATCGGCAGCTACGAGTTAATCACCGATAAATGATTAATACGCGTTCCCGAGAAAATTAAAGCTTCTCGTCGTAAAGCTGCGTGCGGATCGCATCGCGCCGCGAGTGCCACGGGAACACGTATCGCGGTGGGGTTTAATAATAAATTTCAACTTAATCAACACGTGGCAAGCTGTTTCGCGAAACGCACGTTGATGTATCTCGCAGACCCCGTTTCATTACATTGCGAAAGATGAGCCGTTAATATGTGAGAAATCCGGTTTTTAGACGAAGTATATATATATATATCGAGTGTCTAAAAAATCAGACATCTTTTTTCATCACATATTTTAATTAATTTATCGATATTTTCTTGAGAATATTATTAAGATATATCAATAATTCCCAATTAGGGATGAAAGATAAACAGCTTGTCGCTAATTAATTCGAAACAACAAATATAGTAACAAATATATAATATTCATTAATTAATTTCTAATAATCTTTGCTTTAGCAAAATTTTAATTTTTGAAATGTCTTTACTGAAGAAAAATAGACTCTACATTTATATAGCTATATACACTGAGAAAAAAAGTTGTTAACTTGATTAAATCGTTCAATTAATTACTATTTTGTTAATTGAACATATATAAGTATTTAAATGAAAACACGTTATGTTAGATTTAATATCGTATTTAATTTAAATACTTCTATATACGTTTAATTAGTAAAATAATAATTAGTGAACCAATATAGTCAAGTTAACAGCTTTTTTTAGTGTACATATACATATATATATATAACTTTTTTCATCTATAATACTATAATTTAACGAATATTCATAATTTTGAAGCATTTTATTCACATGATGGGCGAGCGATAATAATGTTATCAATGTCATTAATCGCGCGAAAGAATGCGAGATTCACTGCTAACAGATGATTTTCGAGCTTAAATTAATGCTCCATGACTCCGTCAAAATTACTGGCGATGATTAATAGTCATTTTGTTTGCTAGTTTATCAAACTAACACAAATCGTTGAAAATACGTCGTTTTTATCGGTGACTGGCTACTTCCTACATCATGGCGTTATTGAAAATTTATATATGTATATAATTAGACAAGGCCGTCTACTTTTTCTGTATAAAAAAATGACAATTTTATGTCATGATATAAATTTGTACGTAATTCTTCATAATTCTTTTCGAACGTTTAACGATGAAGCGATCATCGTCCTTCTTTCTCGCGCACGAGAGATTGTCGTAAATATTAGACGCGCGAATTTTGCATAACGAATTCGGCGGCGATTCGAATGATTGATGAAGTATCGCCGAAGAATGCCTTAATCGGCGATCGACTCCTACTAGGCCTCATTATGAGCGGTCCAACGGAGTCAGCTGGATCGAGGCTTTATCTCGGATCTAAGGGAGGACTAGCCTTGTTAGCAAGCTGAACTATGGACTATTACATTTATCTAACTTGATCCACCGAAGTCGGAACACCGTCCGTATCTCGTGGGTTTCTCGGTAAGGCAGTGATGGATACTTCATGGTTAACATCCTGACACCGTCGCACGTTGAACCGAAAGCCGCGTCCTCTTCGCGCCGCATCACGAGGGAAAAACGTGCCTCGCAAACCTAATTTCGGCCCCGGCCCTTCCTTCACGATCGTCAGGACACGACCCGGGGTCCCGAATTTTTCAGTCCGGCCTTTCGTATCTTATCAAGTATCATGTTTTACCGCGCCTTGTAAACCTTCGCTGCTAAAATATGACCCAAACAAAGTTTCTTTATATTTAAGAGGGTGTCTATATATTTTTTCAGAAATAAAAAAATAGAAGAATGTAGAAATGAAGAATATAAAATTATAATAATAAATTATATTAATAATGGGGAAATAAAAATAATTATATAATTTATAAAGAAGCTTTGAATAAGTGTTGACCATAAACTGACACTCATATTATAAACCAATATAGTATACTACGTATACTATATTTCATTTTTATTTATTTTTTTTTACTTTCATAATTATGCATCGAACAAGCCTCTATCCTTTTTGTTATAATTTATAATATTCTCAAATATATATACGTATAAGATATGAGGAATTGCATCGTCGATTTTGAGATTATCACAATTAGATTACGAAATCACCGCGAGTGGAGTCGCACGACGTTGCCGCCCCGAGAGATAAACCCTAAAATTATGATGGTGCCTGTTTAAGACAATTAAGGTGAAACCGGTTAGCAACACGTGTTACAACGAAAGTCGTCTTCCCCGTCGGACTCATAACCCGGCGTCATGTCTTCTAACTAGGGTCCTCTTAAGCCACCCTTAAGCCGCGGCGTAAAAGTACTGACCGGCTCTTTCTTACGTCGATGGACACGTTAAGGACGACAAACCTTATACCGGCCCAAGTGTTGTCCCGGGCCCGCGGCTTCGTCGGCCTCGACAATACTTGCACCGTTCCTCGTTCCCGCTCGCGAGATGAAGAGATATAGCTCCCGACTATATGCCGCGCCGGTTCGACGATGTCATTTGTTAGGGCCTGTATCAGATGCTCGCACATGCGCGACACGTACGCGGATGCTCGCGAGCCGGCCCAAAATCGCGGCCGCATGACATGCGCCGAACAGGAGGCCCTGTGCGAGGAAAGCGAACCGGGTCAGAGCTCGTTTTCCCGGGGACGAATACACACACACACGCACACACACACACACACACATGAAAGGAGCAGGAAGCGCGGGAAGATGGAATCTAGATATAAGAGGCCGCTCTCCGCGATGTTGATCACGTTCCGACGAATTTGGGAGAGGACAAAAGGGATCGTAGCGGGACGAGAATTGAGTCGTTTGTGAGTTTTTATAGAGTAAACGATACGCGAATGGACTGCTGAAGACCGGTTGCGTGAGACGTATGATTCTCGAAAGAATCAACACATTTGCACGATAATTCTTCTCGCGTGTTTCTCTTGTAACATATTCATAAATCGCGTTAATCGCGCGCGAGATTGAATAAATTTATACAAATCATAAAATATTGCACATTTTTTAAAATTATATGTTGGAAATATATCGTAGTGATGACAGGTACAAAGTCTTAATTTGATAATCTCAAAATACGTGCTATAAAACATCGAAATAGCGATGAGAATTTATTGAAAATTAATTCTTAAGTAGAAAAAAATTATAATGGTCAGACAAGCAGTTTTCTTTTTCAGCAGTTCTTTATTTATTGAAAGTGCGCGATGTT